TTCCCTCACATTGGCAGACCTCTTTAGTTCATCAGTCACCACAAGAAGTCTTGTCTCTGCTCTATTTCACTATTTCATTTGTTTATAATTCGCTCCTTCTCAGTTACCTATATATGAAATAGAGAACTATCACACAGATAAACTGAATGGTAGTCCTGATTAAGAAGCAGAATAGGATATTAATCTAATCCATTTTAGCTTTTCATAGAATTTTCATAAAACCATACCAGCACCTCCAAAACGTCTGTCACAGAGATTAATCACCTGCCTAGTAATATTTCAGGAAAGAGCACTTATATATCAGTCATATATTTCCAAAAGTGCTCTGTGGTGTGACAGTGCTACTGATCCTCCAACTGTTCCTTTTTAATGACAGCTTCCTAATTACTATTGACTTTTCAGGCATGATAACTTTTATAGAGTTGAACTGTGGAGAAAAATCCATCTTACAAGGTTGGATGGAGACTGAGATATCCATAGATTGCACTTGGATATTATTCATTTGTAGATTTTGTTCTTATAGAACAAAACCTACAAAGTATACCTACAGTATGAAAGTACTATATACAGTACCTACAATATGTTACATTCCACTAGTGCAAAAATTGCGATATCATGCTCGGACGCTTTTATTAACAATCATTTTAATTAACCTCTTTTCCCCCCTTTGAGTGATTGCACTGAAAAGTGATCTTCGACTTTTATTATGAGCTAATTTTACTGTATTTTAAAAATAAAAAGCTTTGTTAAAAAATAAGCACATGTTTTCATAGGCCACCATTCACAAGTGTAGGTTTGAGCAGTTGAATCATCCACTCCAAAGCCTGGATTTTGCCCCGAGTGAATATTATTTGTTCCAGCATATGAAATATGTGCTGCGTGGTACTTGATTTTAAGATACTGACTCATTAAAGGTCACCAATGATTTTTTGAAGGAGTAATCTTAAGATTTCTATTATCAGGAATCTGTTGTCAGAATTGACAAGACAGGACAGATGTGCTATGTGCATTTAGATGAAGGGTGATTGCACTGAGAAATTAAAGAAAAAGATTGCTCTTGTGCTCATGAGTTGCATTTTTAATGAGACTAATAAATGGGAATTTATTATCTTAAACCCTACACAAAATAATTAAAGGAGAAAACTTCAGTTTAGGAATATTTCGATATGGAATAATTAAAAAATTAATAACAATATTGTACAAAAAATCAATTTTGAAGAATGTCATTTAACTACCATTAATATAATGTACTGTATAGCCTCTTCTGGTACTGCAGACTCTTGGTACTACTGTATATACTCTTGATCTGTCTAGACCTGCTTCTTGAGGAATGGTCTACTACTTCTCTATCAAAGCCTGCGTTCAGCCACCTTCATTTTAGCAACTAAATAACAGCAATCTTGCATGACAAACCATAATTCCGATGCCTTCCTCTCACAGAAACGATATGGACAACTGAACACTATAAAGATAGTTATGATTTGTATGGCCCTCTTGAAGTACTTTTTAAGTATATTATTTAAGAAGTTTTGAAATTTTTAACAAGACAGATAAAAACTAAAAAACATACAAACATTAAAGCAAACAGTCAGACATGAACAAATAGCATAGCCTTATGGCTTTTTAGAATTTTCTTGTTGAGATAAGAACATTCTTCCCAAACACTTTTGTGTACCACTGGAATATTTCTACCAATAATTTATGTAACTTGGGACACAGACTGAAGAAGTGTGTGAGTATGCTTGTTACATAATGGGGAGAGTGAAGGATATCTTGTTCAGCTTGGCTTTGGACTAAATGAGATGAAATAAGACCATGTACTGTATTGTGTGATGCGGTGCTGGCAGGTTGTTGTTCAAGATCGTAGAACAGATCAACTCTGATGAGATTTTCATATGGGGGCACATTTTGATCAACAAAGTGTCTGACCTGTAAATAATAAAAAGTGCTTTGTGCAAGGCCAAATTTCTCTTTTAACTGACTAAACTGGAGTCCTTGCACTGGCTTCCTGTAAAATTCCATGTTGACTTTAAAATCCTCATGCTCACCTATAAGGCTCTGCATG